TAAGCTTATAAGTTTTCATGCAGGCCCCCACATCTGTACCCTAAAGTTCAGAGTGGGGAAGGAGCCTTGACAACACACATTTCTTTAACCGAACTTAAGGTAACTTTAATTTTATATTTATCCTACAATGTCCCCACAGCGCAGTGAACCAGGCAGGGCCCCACAGAGATAGAACCTGATCGTGTAATTAAAGAGTGTACCACTGTGGGGAAAAAGAACTAGGTGGCCTTCTTTATGACAGCCGAAGTAACACCGAAGGCCCAAATTCAGGCCCTCTGACAGAAGCTGACTATACAGACGGCCTTTACATAGAACAGTACAGGCCAGGGCCTGAACAAAACTAAGCCAAACATATATCATATTTGGGCGTCCTGTAACAAACCCCCATGCCCTTAACCATAGAACCTCGGAAAAAACAGTATGTACCCTGACGAGAACAACACTCCAACTGGTGCCAAGTACCACCCATGTCGGAAACCACCAAGAAACCCCCCCACACACCCAATAGGCACCCAATTCTCGTAAATAATGACGGAGCTACTGGGAAAAAGGGACAGACCCCTACTCTTATTTTCGCATAAATGACGTATTATTTGTACTATGCTTGCGGTTTGACGGAATAAAGGCAGCCTGCGTGCTGTGCTAGGGGTGGTAGTTTTCGGACTGCTAGCCCAACGCGTTGGTATGTATTGCAATAAACTGGCCTCAGGCTTGAGTCTGTGAACTAAAATCAATGCATGGGTGATTTTTTCCACAACACCACCATGTGGCAGTGCAAAGGGCAGAGCTGAGGCTGCACAGGGAACCTGACTATTATTTCCTCACTTCAGAGGGTTTGATTTTTATGTGGGGGAGACATTTTCAAAAGCACTGAAGTGATTGAGGGTCATGGATCATGCTGGCAGCCAATGGGGCCTGGGCGTCTAAATCAGGGGGGCACTTTTGAAGATTGCCCCCTGCACGGATAAAGCTGGGGAGGGTTCGGGGAGGAGGAGGAGACCTGGGGGAGCAGGTACAAAGTGCTCACATTTTGCTAATCGCCCTGCCGCAGTCATTTCCCTCTGCTCCTCACTGCTAAGTGCCCCGTGCCGGGGGCGGGGGCGGGGACAGGCTGCCAACTGTGCCGCACAGTCCCCGTGTGTAGCACACACACACACACACCTTGTAACTAGTCCCATGTCACCCACGGAGCTGCAGATGGCAATTCAGGCAGAGTGGAAGCTAGGGTTACCATATCTATTAAATAAAAAAAGAGGACCCCCCACGGGCCCTGGCCCCGCCCATTTCCCCAGCCCCCAGCCCCGCCCCAACTCCGCCCCTTCCCCACCCTAACTCCGCCCCCTCCTCCCTCCCGCTCCCAGCCACGGGGAAAGGGCTGCCCCAGCGCTACCAGCTTCACGGTTTGCCGGGCAGCCCGGCTCTTAAACAGA